GAAACCGATATTCATTTCAAGCCCACCGACTCCCACAGCTACCTAGAATACTCCTCCTCCCACCCACCTTCCTGCAAAAATGCTATCCCCTATTCCCAATTCCTTCGCCTCCGCCGCATCTGCTCCCAGGATGAGGCATTCCACTCCCGTACATCTCAGTTGTCCTCGTTTTTCAAGGACCGTAACTTCCCCTCCTCGGTGGTCGAGAACGCCCTCAACCGTGTCTCCCACATCTCCCGCACCTCATCCCTCACACCCCGTCCACGCAATAAGAACCAAAAAAGAATCCCCCTCGTCCTCACGTACCACCCCACCAACCTCCGGATCCAACGCATCATCCTCCGACACTTCCGCCATCTGCAATCCGACCCCACCACCAAAGACATCTTTCCCTCCCCACCTTTATCTGCTTTCCGGAGGGACAACTCTCTCCGTGACTCCCTTGTCCGCTCCACACTCCCCTCCAGCTCCACCACACCCGGCACTTTTCCCTGCAACCGCAGGAAGTGCTACACCTGCCCCCATACCTCCTCCCTCACCCCCATCCCAGGCCCCAAGAAGACTTTCCACATCAAGCAGATGTTCACCTGCACATCTGCCAATGTGGTATACTGCATCCGCTGTACCCGGTGTGGCTTCCTCTACATCGGGGAAACCAAGCGGAGACTCGGGGACCGCTTTGCAGAACACCTACGCTCGGTTCGCAACAAACAACTGCACCTCCCAGTCGCGAACCATTTCAACTCCCCCTCCCACTCCTCAGACGACATGTCCATCCTGGGCCTCCTGCAGTGCCACAACGATGCCACCCGAAGGTTGCAGGAACAGCAACTCATATTCCGCTTGGGAACCCTGCAGCCCAATGGTATCAATGTGGATTTCACAAGTTTCAAAATCTCCCCTCCCCCCACCGCATCCCAAAACCAGTCCAGCTCGTCCCTGCCTCCCTAACCTGTTCTTCCTCCCACCTATCCCCTCCTCCCACCTCAAGCCGCACCTCCATCTCCTACCGACCAACCTCATCCCGCCCCCTTGACCTGTCCGTCCTCCCTGGACTGACCTATCCCCTTCCTAACTCCCTACCTACACTCACCTTTCCTGGCTCCATCCCCGCCTCTTCGACCTGTTTGTTTCCTCTCCACCTATCCTCTCCTCTATCCCTCTTCTATCCGCCTCCCACTCTCTCCCTATTTATTTCAAAACCCCCTTCCCCTCCCCCTTTTCTGATGAAGGGTCTAGGCCCGAAACGTCAGCCTCTCTGCTCCTATGATGCTGCTTGGCCTGCTGTGTTCATCCAGCCCTGCACCTTGTTGTCTCGGATTCTCTAGCATCTGCAGTTCCTACTATCTCATCTTCTAGACTTTGTTGAATAGTCAATGAGTTAATTGCCTGCAAAAAGCTACAAAGTGCTTCTGGCACATGCATTTAGATATCCAAGCTTTGGACTTGCTTCAAATGAGAGAATTAGATTTTGCTTAGCATCTTTTCTGAGAACTGCAGATCTTTGTTCTTTCTATTGTATTGTGCCCTCAACATCATTTGCCCTCTACAGATGAGCGTCATTCCATCATGTAGCCAAAGCGTTACTTTCGAGGGTTTTATATTCAGGTCACCACCTCGAACCACTTCACACAGGTCTGCGAAACTCATGGTATTGCATGAAGCAATGGTGTCTCTCTTGTACTTCACATGTACTTGATATTCTCTTTCTACAGTCATTTTTCTAACCATTTACAAACTAATTGTCACCTTTCGACCTGAAGATACCAATCAAATGTACAGTGTGGAGAACTTGTCAGAATCACTAAAAACCAAAATAACTGCAGATGCTGTAAATCAGAAACAATAACAGAATTTGCTGGAAAAGCTCAGCAGGTCTGGCAGCATCTGTGAAGACAAAGCAAAGTTAACATTTCAAGTCTGGTGACCCTTCCTCAGAACTAATGGTAGCTAGGAAAATATCAGTTTATTTGCAGAAGTTAGGGTGGGGGCAGGGGATACGGAGTAAACAATAGGTGGAGATAGAGCCCAAAGAGAGAGAAAAACATTTGGACAGACAAAGGAGTGGATAACGATTTGGCTAGGAGGGTGAATAGCTGTTAATGGAGACTGCTAGTGACTAGCAATAGGTAGTGTGTAATGGCAGACTATGTGATAACAAGGCCTGGTATGTGAGGTCAGGGGCTAGGATATAAGAGAGTTCAGGCCCTAAAATTATTGAACTCGATATTGACTCCGGAAGGCTGCAGGGTCCCCAAGTGGAAAATGAGGTGTTGTTCTTCCAACTTGCACTGAGCTTCACTGGAACACTGCAGCAAGCCTGAGACAGAGATGTTGGCCAGGGAACAGGGTGGTGAGTTAAAGTGGCAGGCACTGGAAGCTCAGGGTCTTTTTTGCAAGCAGAACATAAATGCTCTGCGAAGATCACTCCACAGACCCCTTCTCCCAGCTCCAATGCTCTCCCTCCACCTGGACCCCTCCCTCTGGCCATTTACCTGCGCTCAATCTGTTCATTGAGAACTGTCAACATGACTTTGGTCACCTCAATTTCTCTGCACCCCTCACCCAATCCAACCTATCTCCCTCCGAATGGACCAGCACTCCATGCAATTAGATCCAATCCTGACTTTGTTATTAAGCCTGCCGATAAGGGTGGTGCAATTGTAGTCTGACGTACTGACAGCTACATTGCAGAGGCTAAGCACCAGCTCTCAGGTACCTATTCATATCTCCCCCTGGTCAAAAATCACATGACACCAGGTTATAGTCCAACAGGTTTATTTGAAGACACAAGCTTTCAGAGTCTCATTCCTTCTTCAGGTGTCAGTGAGGGGCGTGGCATCAGATACAGATTTTATAGGCAAAAGATCAAACGGCCATAGAACTGATGTGAATGTATTGAACAAACCTAAGAAGGCTGTTAAATCTGTAATCAGTTAGACAGGATTGACATGCAAATCCCAGAATTTCTTTCAAGTCACTGTCCCAGACAACTAAAGGTTTTATCAGTATATCAAAGGTAACATCTCAGGTCAGACAATGCATTTTAGGTGTGAAGCCTTGTTTAGAATGTGGCTGTATATTAACTTGGAGTCTGACTGGTTTTATTTGCGTTTGTTTGCATGCTTCCCCTGGACTATCACCTCACCATGGCACCAGGCCATTGTATCAACTATGGTTACGAATCTCATTTCAACTGGTGATCTCAACCCCACCCCCCCCCCCCCCAGCTTCCAAGCTGATAGACCCCCAGCCCTGCACAGTTCACTTCTACCTCCTTCGGAAATTTCACAAACAGGACTGCCCAGGCAGACCCATTGTTTCAGCCTGCTCCTGCCCCATAGAACTGATCTCTTCCTACATTGACTTGGTCTTTTCTTCCCGGTTCAGTTCCTACCCACGTACATCCATGATTCCTCTGACACTTTTATGCCAGTTTCAGAATGTCCAGTTTGCAGGCTCCAGCCACCTCCTCTTTACCATGGGCGTGCAATCCTTTAACACATCTATCCCCCACCAGGATGGTCTTAGAGCTCTTCACTTCTTCTGGAAGCAAAGGCCTGAACTGTCCCCAGCCATCATCACCATCTTCCGCTTGCCCGAGCTCATCCTCTCCCTGAACAACGTCTCTTTTAACTCCTCTCATTTTCTTCAGGTCAGAGGAGTGCCGAAGGTATCCGCATGGGCCCTAGTTATGCCTGTCTGCTCATAGGGTACGTAGAACATTCCTTTTTCCAGTCCTCTTCAGCACCCCACCTACAACTCATTCTCCAATATATCGATGATATCATTTGTGCTGCTTCCCTCTCTTATCTGGAATTGGAAAAGTTCATCGATTTGGCTTCCAATTTCCACCCCGCCCTCACTTTCACCTCGTCTATTTCTGGCTCTTCCCTTCCCTTCCTCAACAGATGTTTCCATTTCTGGGGAGAGATTGGCCACTAATATCCATTATACCCACTGACTGTCACAGCTATGTGGAATGCACATCCTCACACCCTGCTTTCTATTAAGATTCCATTCCATTCTGCCAGTTCCTCTGTCTCTGTTGCATTTGTTCCGATGAGGCCTAATTCGACAAGGGATCCTCCGAAATGTCCACCTTCTACCTCAACCAAGGACACCCTAGCACAGTTGTTGACAGGACCCTCAAACAGGTCTGGCCCATCACCCGTACTTCCACTCTCAACCCTTCACTTCCCTCCTGCAACAGTGATAGGATTCCCCTTGTCCTTACTTACCATCCCACCAGCATCCACATCCAGGAGATCATCAGCCACTATGTCCACCACCCCCATGGAGATGCCACCACCAAACATATATTCACATCCCCACCTTGTCCCTCTGGGACACACTGGTCCACTCTTCCTTTACTCCAAACCACACCCCACAGCTCCACGATATTTTCCCCTGCAACTGCCAAAGGTCTAACACCTGCCCATTTACCTCCACCCTCCTCGGTGTCCAAGGGCCCAAACATACCTTCCAGGTGAAGGAGCACTTCATCTGCACGTCCTACAATCTAGTCTACTGCATTCGCTGCTCACAATGTGGTCTCCTCGACATTGGGGAAACGAAGCATAGACTGGGAGACCACTTCACAGAACATCAACGTTCTGCTCGCAAAAAAGAGCCTGAGCTACCTGTTGCCTGCCACTTCAACACACCACCTTGCTCCCTGGCCAATATCTCTGTCTCTGGCTTGCTGCAGTTTGCCAGCGAAGATCAACGCGAGCTGGAGGAACAACACCTCATTTTCCGCTTGGGAACCCTGCAGCCCTCCAGACCCAATGTTGAGTTCAATAATTTTAGGGCCTAAACTCTCCCATGTCCCAGCCCCCCATCCCACACTCCAGGCCTTGTTATCACATAGCCTGCCATTACACACCCCCTGTTGTTAGTCACTAACTGTCCCCATTAACAACTATTCACCCTCCCAGCCTAATCATTATCCACTCCATTGTCTGTCCAACTGTCTTCTCTCTCTTTGGGCTCTATCACCAACTATCATTTACTCCTTATCCCCTCCCACCCACCTTATCTTCTGCATATAAACCGAATTTTTCCTAACTGCCATCAAATCTGAAGAAGAGTCACCAGAACCAAAATGTTAACTCTGATTTGTCTTCACAAATGCGACCAGACCTGCTGAGGTTTTCCAGCAACTTCTGTTTTTGTTGTCAGAATCATTGTCTGACAAGTTTCCAGCAGCTTTCTTTATACAATTGCTTTACTTTTTTCTGGCTAATCACCTGTATGTAAGGTGAACATAGAAACATAAAATATATGAACAGGAGTAGGCCATTTGGCCTTTCAAGGCTGTTCTGTCATTCAATATGATCATGGCTGATCAGTCAACTTAGTACCCTGTTCCCACTTTTGCCCATACCCTTTAATTCCTTTAGTCCCAACAACTATATCTACCTCCTTCCTAAAAACATTCAATATTTTGGCCATAACTACTTTCTGTAGCAGAGAATTTCACTTCGAGTTATAGAGTCATACAGCACAGAAAGAGATCCTTCGGCCCAACTCATCCGTGTTGACCAGACATCCCAATCTGACCCGGTCCCATTTGCCAGCATTTGGCCCATATCCCTCTAAACCATTTCTATTTATGTACCCATCTAGATGCCTTTTAAATATTGTAATTGTACCAGCCCTCAGCACTTCCTCTGGCAACTCATTCCATATACGTACCAGCTTCTGCGTGAAAAAGTTACACCTCAGGCCCTTTTTAAATCTTTCCCCTCTCACCTTAAACTTATGTCCTTTAATTTAGATTCCCCACTCTGGGAAAAAGGCCTTGGCTATTTAACCTATCTACACCCTTCATGATTTTATAAACCTCTATAATATCACCCCTCAGACTCCAACCCTCCAGGGAATAGAGCCCCAGCCTATTCAGCCTCTCCCTATAGCTCAAACGCTCCAACTCTGGCAACATTTAAGAAGTTCAGCTTCTTCCTTATCTCTATCTCCAAAGATGCAGCCAAACCTGCTGAGTTTCTCCAGTATTTTCTGCGATGATATCAGATTACTAATGATTGCAGGAAGGCTAATAAGGCAGTAATTGGCTTTTTGTGAACAGGGCATACATGGGCAATATTCCACACTGTCAGTTAGAAAACTGTGTTGTACATGTGCTGGAACAGCTTTGCTAGGAGAACAGTACACTCTGGACAACAAGTCTTCAGTATTTTTGCTGGAATGTTGTCAGGGCCCATAGTCTTTCCAGGATCCTGTGCCTCTCACATTAAGTGAATCGAATTAGCTGAAGACTGGCATCTGAGATTCTGGGGACCACTGGAGGAGGCCGTGATGGATCATCTACTCAGCACTTCTGACTGATGATATTTGCGAATGCTTCAAACTTATTTTTTGCACTGATGTGCTGGGCTCCCCTATCATTAAGGATGAGGATATTAATGGAGCCTCCTCCTTCACTAAGATTTTTAATTGTCTGCCATCATTTATGGTTGGATGTGGCAGGACTGCAGAGCTCAGATCTGATCCATTGATTTTGGAATCACTTAGCTCCTGTCTATCACTTATTGATTGGTATGCAAGTAATTCAGTTTGGTAGCTTCATCAGGCTGACACTTCTTTTTAGGTATGCCTGGTGCTGCTCCTGGCATGCCCTTCTGCACTCTCCATTGAACCAGGATTGATCTCCTGGTAATGGTAGAGTGGGAGATATGTTGGGACATGAGCTTGCAGATTGTGTTGGAGTCTGCGACTGCTGATGGCTCATAGTGCCTCATTGATGCCCTGACTGTTTGAATTCTACCCCATTTAGCACGTTGATAGTCTCACACAATAAAATGGATGGTATCCTCAATGTGACATGTGAAAACATGACTTAGTCTTCATAGGAACTGTGCGGTGGTCACTCTTACCAAACCTGTCATGTACAGGTGAATCTGAGGTGGACAGATTGGTAAGGATAAGGTCAAGTATTTTTTTCCCACTTGTTGGCTCTTCACCATCTACTGCAGCCCCAGGATTCAAACCCACATCACCAGAACATTACCTGTCTCTGGATTATTAGTTTAGACACAATGCCATTACACCATCACCTCCCTGCTAAACATGTTGGTAGCTTTCTTGAGAATAAATTTCTCTTCTCTCTGTAGACATGCTCACACAGTGAGATCTGATTTCTCTAAGACAGTTCTGTTTCTGATAAGTCACAGTGTCCTTGTAAATCTCCTCTGCACCCTCTCCAGTGCTATAACTTTTCTCCTATAATCTGGATCCCAGAACTGCACCCAATACTCTAGCTGTGGCCTAACCAATGTTTTATATTTTATATTTTCATCATAATTGATAATCGCTTGCTAATGAGTATAATTGTTCATCTAGGAGATTCCATGTCACTGGTCATGGGTTCTGTGGGTCCTTGCATGTCTGATGAACCCAATCCTGGAGACATACATCCAACCTTCCTCCAGGAGGTGGAAATACTCCTTGGTTTTGAGGTCATTGGCATTTCTTTATCCAATTCCTCTTCTGTAATGCCTTTTGCTGATGGGTCTTCTCAAAGAATTGTGCCCCTTTCAATTTCTTCTGAACAAACATCTCCCGTGTGTTGACATCAACTCCAAGGCAGAGTTACAAAGAAGAACTAGGGAAAACAAGAACCAATAGTGGACTGAGAAAGCTAAGGAGCTGCAAATCCTTGTTGACAGCACAACACCCAGGATTTCTTCAGAGCCACCAAAGCAATATATGGACCCAACTTCGTTGGACTCAAACCAGTGTGGAGTATACAGTTCATCACAACCTCCTTGGTTTTAAACTACGGGGTTGGCTAATAACCGCCTACCTATCCCACCAACTTCAGTGACCTGTGTATATGCTCACCAAGATCCCTCTGATTCTCAGTGCTTTCCAGAGTGCTGGTGTCCATCATGTACTCCCTTGCTTTGTTTGTCTTGCCCAAGTGCATCACCTCACATTCATCTGCATTCAATTCCATTTGCCACTGATCAGTTCATCTGACCAGCCTAATTTCAGGCTGTCCTCACTAGTTACAACCCCATCAATTTTCACATCATTCACAAACCTACTGATCAACTCTCCTATATTCATATTTCACAGGTAGTAAGAACCGCCGATGCTGGAGTCAGAGATAACACAGTGTGGAGCTGGAGGAATACAACAGGTCAGGCAGCATCAGAGGAGCAGGAAAGTTGACGTTTCAGGTCTTTCTGAAAAAGGGCCCCGACCCGAAACGTCAGCTTTCCTGCTCCTCTGACATTGCCTGACCTGCTGGGTTCCTCCAACTCCACACTGTGTTATCACTTCATATTTCAGTTGTCTAAGATCCAGAATTCAGCAAGATGTATGAGTATCTTTATATACTATTCAATATTCTTGCTCTCCCCTTGAGCTCTGTTGTTAAATATATATCTTTCATGAAGTAACTTTAATTCATTGTTCAATATGTGTCTTCAAGGCCTTCAAAATTTCTCCATTCTGGCTTTTGTACACTTCATTAGGAGTTTTCATACTACAACTTGGAGCATTTTGCCCCAGCATTGATAACAGAGTTGCTTACATTTGTACTATTGGAAAGGTTAGGAAGACATTAGCCACCAAAGCGTTCTTTGGAAAAGCATTATTTGTAAAACTAGGTTGAAT